TCAATGGCTCGTACTCTACTATGAACATTCGTCTCATTACTCATGTTAAAATCTGACAAACAGTCCTTATCATTGCTAACCATTTTTTATTGCACACGAGCCCAGTATGAACCATTCATGCTAGTTATTTGGTCTTTTGTGGAGAGTTGTCTATTGGCAATCATACCACATCTTCTTATTGTTATAGTAAGATTAATTAAATATCCGTGTCGCTGGTTTTTTGTTCAATAACAAGAATAGAAGTTCTGGGAAAATGTATTATAAAACCTTGACCGATTCCTTCATTTTAATTAATCAATAACTATCGTTGCAAGGTTAAATACATTGTTTGACATGTCAACAGTAGTGCTCACCGTATAAAGATCTCTGTAGTTGCGAAAATATTTTAACCCTGCTATCTAAATTATTCGTGATTTTTTAAATGATTTTCTTGTCAAGTTTTGTCTTGTTCTACCACTCTGCAGGTTTTTTTTATAAGAAAACGAATCACAGTGCAATGTAACTCGTGATAAACAGACGTAATGAACAAATACACAATGAGTCTAATATTCTAGAACGGATTTCCTCAATTTTTGCACAATTGTTAAGATTGTTAAAAGGGATAATTAAGGAAGTTGAAACATAGGAACGTAAACGTCCTGCTGAAATAAAATCTGCAATATTTATCCGGTAGAAATATCCGACTGATATTTAAACAAAGAGATGGAAAGTTACTTCATACAAGTGTTTACACATGTTACACATGTTGAAGTGTACATTAAAGAAATAAAATTACAACATCGATGTTTACGGCGAATTATAATTAAAAAAAAGTTTTTTGTTCGATGTAAATTGTCATAGAATATATGGTTTTGTTTTGTTTTTTTTATTTCAATTTACTGGATAGACATATATTAAATAGTATATGGCAAATACGTACATGACGTATCACAGAAGTGCAAAATAATTGCGTCATAAATAAAACATAAAGATCTTAGAAAAACATATGTAGAGAATTATAGCTTTTATAAATAATGAGAATAAGTTATCGCTTGATATCAACTTGAGTCATTTAACTTCAATACAATAATAAACTAGCCTTTGGCGTTTGTATTGTTACTGTCCGTTCAAAATTTCAATTATAATTGCGTCTTAAATATGTTTACAACAGTCCAGTTATGAGGGTTTGGTTGGGGGGTGGGGTGGGGTGGGGGGCTTCAATTCTATATTCTTTAATTGTGTAAACCATTTTTCTTTATTCATTATAAATGTTGCCTGTTATTCTCTATTCTTTATATTTTAACACAATATTTTTGCCCTTTAGTCTGCACTTTTTGCCCATTATTCTATATTTTGAAAACCCCATCCATACACTCAGCTATTGCTAAATTGGAGCATGATGGGATTATTCGTAAAGTTGGTATTTTGTATCATTTAAGTGTGTCGTTTATGTCATCATTGGTATCAATTACTTCTCTCTTTCAACTTTTTTATTATAGCGCCACGGATGAGTCTTATGTAGAAGAAACGCGCGTCTGACGTACACATTTTTAATCCTGGTATCTATGATGAGTTTAGTATTAACATGGTTCTTCGTGAAATAAACAAAACATTGCAACCTTAAATCAATAACACGTTGGCCTGGTTTAATCTACGTAGAAAACCATACGACCATAACTCAAAAATTATTGAGGCTCTACATATAAATCTTTATTTATCTATGATTGAAGATGTACAAATAACACATTTATACCAGTATAGTCGTTTGATTTGTAATTTGTACCGATTGAGTCCCTTTCCCGATTGTGACATTTTGACTGAGTGTGAATTATCATGGCGGGCATGCATGCGTAGTAGGAGATGCTTACCATGTGGACGCACCCAATCTCGTTCCTGTTTGGGTTCATGTGATTTCCCGTGTTTTTGTGTGTTACCTTGATTTACCTCTTCCTGATCGAGTTAAAAGATTTTAACATCGGTAAACTACTGTCGCCTTAATTTATTAAAAGTAAAAAGACGTAAGAACCGTATCACATACATGTGTTAACGTGCTGTTCCATTGACAAACATAATACTGTGGATTCAACATTATTCATGGGATACCAATTGTCGTGGATTTTGCTGTACAGGTGAGCCATGAACTTAAATGTTCAATTAAGTACAAATTTTCAATAGGCTTGGAAACAGACCTATGTAAACCAACTAAACTAAATATCCACGAAAATACACTTTCCTCTTACTCCACGAAAATTAGTGCCCACGAAAATGAATGAATCCACAGTATCAAATAAAATCATGTAAATACTAGATAGAAATATAAACATGTAAAGCTGCAGATTTGTTTGGGTCTTATATATTTCAATGTGCTAGAACTGGTACCAAAAGAACTGTCACCAGAGATAAGGCTAGACGCATGGAATGTATTTGACGTCTTTGAATAAAAACACACTATACAATGTATTTGCTGATTTATACATTTATAAAATTCCATTTATATATTAAGTGACACTAGATATTACATCAACACTTAAAAATAAATGGTGGCTTAAAGTATATAATTTATTAGAAATCAAACAGTTGATTTACTTATTTCTGCTGAAGAACATATTTAATCATCCTTTGCAACGCTTCAAGATAACATACTCCAAGTATTGAAGAGAACGGGTTAAAGTATTTGATGGGAATTTTTCCGCAACTATTAAATTTAAATCACATCTGTTAACAATATAAACAAGATGATGATAACAAAGACATTTGAGACAGTGACTCATAGCAATATATAGGCGGTTTAGAAATATCATCTCTTTCAATTGCAACTGTACTTCTCGTGGTATATTAGTAATGAGTGTTTCTTGTAACTTAGACTATTTACAGTGGCTTATATGACCCTGTCATTCAATGTCACTGCGTAATGTATACTTTTTCTGTTACTATTTATATCTTCTTTGTCACAGTTAATTCATCTATGATACCATATCACTCGTATACCTTTTATAAATTTCGAAATTATAAAGAAACTAAGGTTTCAACTCCCTCAGGCAAAGCTGACCATAGATGGACTTGGCTATTTTTAGGTCCTTTAAGTTATATAGCTCTTCAATTGTTTCATATCTTATACATCCTTGGCTTTCAAATATTCGTCTTTGATCGTTCCTGATAAAGGTAAATCCAGAAAAGCGCTTCGGTCGCATGAAATTTATAACGTGTTATTTTAATGTTTTTAAGAACATGATCCTGCAGTCTGAGCGTAACATTTTACGGTCATGCTTTATAACAAAACTACGCAAAAACAACTTATTCGACACATGTCTAAAAGAAATAGGTAAATAGAACAAGGAACAAAAATAGTACAAAATAACTACACTGATTTCTCAAGATTGCGAAATATAATCAAGCCTAACACAAGGTTTGTCCAAAACAAATCAGCAGTTCCTATTCACTAAAAAACATCCTTCGTTTTACTCCAGATAAAATGCCTTTATCATTCATACGATAATGTATTATATAAAAGACGATTTGCTAGTGTCTCACTTGTAGCCTCACTACATAACGAAATTAAAAAAAAAAAACACCAGTATTATTAAATTCTCAAACGCTCAAGCGATGATGAAGATTGAATGTAAACACGGTTTATTGAATCCAAAATAAAATAATAAACACAATAAATTAAAAACTAGAGCAAACGCAACGCAGTTTACTTTCGGAACAAAACTAGAAGATAACGCGGGTGGTTCTGGAAGATAAGCAGTTCCTACTTTTTGAATATTAGCAGTGATGTTACCCAAAGAATTTTAAAGGTTTGGTTGGTGTGTCACTACAGCAAACTGGATTGTGGAATCTATCCGTATTCATCTGTGACAAAGATATTCCATAATGTTCAACAAAATCATGATGGCGCCCGTAAATTTTTCGAATGAATGAGTTAAACTTTACCATTGTAAAATATCAGCCAATTTCTTCTTTGCAAACACTACCTCTCTATCAATGAAATTTTGATAGGAAATACTAGACCTGGAATTGCATAATAACTAGTGACATTTTCTCCATATTCGGGGACTGCTTGAATATTACACTGGTTTTGCAGGGGTTCGCGTAGCTCAGTCTTTGGTTTCTTTGTTGTGTTTTGTATATTGTTGTTTGTCTTTTGACCCTTTTTATTTCGTTTTTTGCCATGTCATTGTCAGTATTTGTTTTTTCGACTTATGAGTTTGAATGTCCCTTTGGTATCTTTTGCCTCTCTTTTGCTACCGAGAACTGGAAAAATCTAATCATCTTTTTTTAATTTGTCACAAAGTTATATTCTCATGCGTCCTTCATGTCAATTTCCAGATGTTAGTCAAGACATTTAGCAGACGTAGATGCGATCAACATAGTTATAGTACTTTGAAATTATTTAGTGAGAAGACTTTAAAGATGAAAAAATAATGTTAGCGTCTTTTTGTTTTATATTTATTAAAATATTTTCGTATTCGTAACAGTTCAATAGTGTTTAATAGTTGCAGACAGATTCTACTGATTCCCTCTAGGCTAAGAATTTTGACATTTTAGTAATGAAATTTTGCTACATAAGAAAATGCCTGTACCAAGTCAGGAATATGAATGTTGTTATTCATTCGTTTGATGTGTTTGCGCTTTTGATTTTGCCATTTGATTATGGACTTTCCGTTCTGAATTTTCCTTGGACTTTGGTATTTTTGTGATTTTACTTTTTGCTATGAAGGGATAACTGACAATATTCATTACCCTATCATATATCTAAGAGTACACGACGTTAAGAGATATTGATAATGTCATTTACATTTTAGAGGTTACGCCATAATGGGTAAACGGTGAAATGTTTTTTAAACCCAGCACATTTAGTTGATTTATTTGATGTACCACGAAAGCAGAAATGAATGATCCTAGAAATACACGACCATTTCTAAATAGACGTGAATCATTTAACAAATCAATCAGTTTCGTGTTTATAGTCTAATAATTAAGAACAAGTCTTATGCATTTATATATCATCGTAAATGCATAGAAGTTAAGAATGAAATTCAAGCTAAGTATTTCACTCTTCATTATATGAATCTTATTAATATATCGATGACCCTGCTAAATATTGAAAAAAGAAATGTCAGATTTAATAAAGCTTATCGCTTTGTCTGATTTTTGCTGCGAACACCAACGGAGGATAATATCTTGGGGATTTTTACTTTTTACTCTAACTTTTCCTATTCTGTTGTTTTTGTTACTTTTTGCGAAAAAAACATTGACTTGGGAGTTACGACATGCTTAGACAGAGGGTAAGTTCAGAATGATTTGATTTCAGAGTGTGTTTAAATATGTTAAAGTATCGTCGTCTGTGAATTCTTTGCTGCGACGATCACATCAATCTGAAAGAGACATTTATACATTAGTGTTATATACCATATTATACCAAAACATCTTTGTGTATACGAGTAACTTTATTATTCGAAAGTCAGAAGACCAGAATACTCTGGATTCATTTATTTTTGTGGGCACCAATTTTCGTGGATTGAGGAAAAATTGTATGTGCTTTTAAATTTTGGTTTTCCCAAAATATGCTTACAAGCCTATAGAAAATTTGTTTTTCGTTGAACATTTAAATTCGTGGTTCACCTTTACCCAAGAAATCCACGAAAATTGATATCCCACGAATAATAATGAATCAACAGTAGGTGATTTGTTTACACGCTGGGATTTTATAAAAAAAAACTGATAAGGAAGGTAAAGAAATAAATACAAGTAATTACTATTTTTGGACTAAAATCTTATAAAACCCAGCGATCGCGATCTATAACAAGAAAATCGAACAGATAATCGCTCACAGTGAAAAATGGATACAATACAATGTCTAGCATGTCTAGCGAACAAAACACATGTTTCTATAAAGTTCTAAGAAAACGGATAAACAAGCTACCCATTCATTACCATAAAAGGAATACATTATATGGAAAGTTGCACGTAAAGTTGACGAGACAAGATTTGATCGAAAACGTTTGTGAAATAACAACATGACTTGTACAAGTTTTCCCAATTCATATACTATTAAAAAAATATAACCTTGAGTATTTACTCGCTTTCATAGTCAAACCATAAAACTTCAAATGACCATATTTAATTTCCCAATATCTAAGCTAAGAACTTTACATATACTTACGGCTTTTCACATATGTACCTAAAACGGTTGGAACATCCAGCATCATTCCATTGGTAGTCAAGATCTCTATGAATATTCAAACAATGCTCGTTATCATCCTCATTGTTTGGTTCATATGAAGTACGTCTATGCCAATCAGTAACGGTGAACTTCTGTCCACTAGTTGCCCAGAACCAAACACCTTCTTCAGACTCATCTGATCCATCAAGCCAGAAATCTGACAAATATATATATAGAGAGAATTTTTAATAATAGCCAAAAGAAATATTAAATAAAAGATAGATGGGGCCTTTTATTTTTCAATCTAAAGAGCCATAAAACCCCATTGGACTAGCTTAATGAACGACTGCAAATCTTATTCTTAATTACTGACTTTTCACCTTTGAATTATATAATAAAATGTATGGGTCATGGGGCTTCTTTTGAAGCTACATGTTGGGCAAAACCGTCAGATTTTGTATAGATTATGCATGGAAAATCCAATTTTGTTTGATAAAAAAGAAAACTAAACTACAGACTTTTAAGATAGAATATGAGAAGGTAGCTCTTAAAATCTGCCTTTAGAAAATAAATAGAAAAATTTGGAGTCACTGTACTCGTTTTCTTGCTACAAAACAAGACAGGTAAATTCATAATACAATCTTTTACAAAAGTAACATTATGTGAGTTATCTTCCCTTATATGGCAAAGTTGGGGAAAAAATTGAATCAAACAAAAATATATTGTATTTGTAAGAAACAGTTGTAAAAATATGATAAAACACATACTTTTCATTTAGCTGAAAAATTTTACAAATGAATAACATTCTTCTCTCGAAATTTGCCCATTTCATGAAAGATCTATACCGATTATGTTCTGCTATTTAACAATCCAAGATGATGGAAGACACCCGCTTTACCCCAATAAAAAAGATAATTTTTTGGAGACAGACACGTACTTTTTCCATACTTTTCCGCATTTGTTTGAAGAAATTTAATCTCACTAATTGATGTTGCGTCTGCAAGCCTACTATTTTGCTCTAAACACTTTCTCTGAAAGAAAAAAAATGATATATGTATAATGAAAAAAGTTTTAAAATAAGGTAAATTATCAATCCACTAGTAAATTAGTCTTAGTCTTAAACAGCCACGGCAAAGGTCAGATTATATTAAACAGTATTTCGTTTTGTGTAAAATTAAGGTTTCTATAATAATATATCAGTCAACAGCACCTGGGTAAGATATTGTTTTATGGGTTTGTTTGCAAACTTTTGGCAACTGAAGTTTTTTATAAAAATAAATGCATAGCAGATAAAACACGTCGATTGTTTACTTTGTTTTTATTATTAGGTTTTTAAGGGACTTTTGGGAAGGTGGTGTTATTGGAATATCTTAAGTAGCTTTTGTTGGATTTAATCGCACCGTGTGTCAATAAATTGGTTCGACGGAGGTAACAGAATATGAGCACCTGAACTTATCACGTTCAGTAAGGGACTTATTAACATATGCATTATGCATGCAAATTTGTCTGCCATAGTTTTAACACAAAAATTCCCGCAAAATAGTGCATCACAAATTAAAACATTTTACGTCATAATTAAAAAAAATGATTGTTGAATGACGTCAGAAGATTATTCAGAGGCATATATAGGGTCATTCCGAGATAATTCAGCTTAATACCCAAAAAGGTTAAAAACGTCTATAAGACCCGTACTGAGAATACGTCTCTTATGTTCGATGTATAAGTGTTCGGTTGCTTCTTTTTTGGAATTTGGATGTTAAATCCGATGACCTGGTAAAAGAATCCTTGCAAAATTACTTTGAAGAATCCGTTGGTAGCATATTACAAGGCAAATGTCTTTCCCTGAGCTACATTCCATTTATTGCAAGTATAAGTCATTAATGTGTGTCGAGCCCAATTAGTTTCCCCTTGAGTATGTACTGATTGTTCTCTTATATTGTAGATGCATATCAAAATTACCGATTGATTATTTGGAAACACAAATCACCCAGCCAATTTGAAAACATGGCAGTTCAGTGATAAATGTTTGAATTAGGTATTTGATCTTTGATGATGTTGTGTATTTTGAACATCGTATTACACACAAAAACGTCATTCATTAATAAAAAATATCGTTGCCACTTTTTAAACTTTATAGAAGACATATCCAAAAGTGTCAGGCAATGGGATGAAGATCACTTTTAAGTATCATTAATCATTAAAATATAAAAACAGAAGCACGTTAAATACGTTAATTTTTAGCATAAAGACATATTTTGTTTTGTGTATATCAGATTTGTCTTAATTGAAATTAAAATACAATTATGTTATGAAAATTTCAAGTAAAATATTGTTTTTTATTTTGGTGTTCTGCATTACATGTTCATCGGACAGCTTGCGAACGTTGTCCTTTGTGTTTGTTGATTTTCTAAAGAATTTGTGACATATGATGTTGTGTGTTATATTTCTGTTTTATAAAACTATAAGTCAATATCTAAATTTAAAACACAGCTCATTTCAAGACTTCTAATTATAATTAAAAAAAGATTATTCAATAAATATCCATAAGTATTTTGTATGCAATTTAGCAATTACATAGATGAATAAGTATATTTTCAAGTAGCATTTATAAAATTCATGTAGATATTTCACTGTGGCATTACCAATATAAAAATGTAAACATTGTTTTTACTGCCGGATTAAACCGATTTATTTCAAGTTGTTATGTGTCACATATTGTATGTTACTGCATAATGTTTTATTTTGGAGCAATTTGATTTCAACAAAAGATCATATAATTGAAAGTTTTAAAAATATAATCCAATCAAAATGAGTCGAAAATCTTTTTAAATAATATTTCTTGTTTATTTTTCTTTATTGATAGTTTTCACAAAACGAGTTTGACTCTGTTTTGATGCCACTCCCTGTGTTTTAGACTCTTTTTTGCAATCGCAAACTAGTAACAGGCCATGATGAATCGAGGGAAAAAATGCATATTTACAAAGACATTTCTTTTAATTTAGATGTTTATCTTTTAATGGAATCAACCCTTTAGAAAGAATCGACTAAGCTTTTAATCATCTCAAGCATCGTTGTTGTATTTGCTAAACGTTTGCTTTCATTTATGCTATCATTACACGAGGGATCATCTTTCCAAAAAACGGGCCAGAACAGCAAATATGATTTTAGAATCGCCGATGGCTAATACAAACTTTACATTTTTGTATGCTGTACACAAATTTCCTTTAACTTTCAGGTCATACAGCTTCTCACGTACTCACGTACTTATTCATCCTCGGCTTTCAATATTTAGGTTTTATCGTTCTTGATGAAGGTTATTCAAGACTATCAATTAAAAAGCACGGAATTTATAAGGTATCATTTTTATTTACAATGGGCATTGTATTATTCTAAGATTGATTGGTTATATACCTAATTTGAAACAAAGCTAATCAAATCTTCTTCGACATTTTTAATGAAAGATCTATGTGTTTTGGGAATAACGTTACCATTATTACAGTCTTGGATGGCATTTCATTATAAAAGTTATGTACTTTGAGCTTGCTTTAAGACACCGAGCCCTCTCTAATATATATGTCTTTACGTCTTTTTTTAAATGTGGGAATATTGTTTAGAATCACTATAAAACATCCATTTTAGACACTAAAACACCCTTCCTAGCTATAAAACCAGGTTTAATCCACCATTTTCTACATGAGGAAATGCCTGTACCAAGTCAGGAATAGAACAGTTGTTTTCCATTCGTTTGATGTGTTTGAGCTTTTGCCATTTGATAAGGGATATTTCGTTTGGAATTTTCCTTGGAGCTCGGTATTTTTGTTATTTTACTTTGTAGACCGATTTCACTTGTGTCTTTTCGGAGTTAAATATAATAAATAAGGAGTTGTGGTACGACTGCCAAATGAGGCAACTGTCCAACAGAGAGGTGGATTTAAACAATGATAAGTCACCACACGGCCTTCAACAATGAGCAAAACCCATGTCGTATATTCAGCTATAAAAAGGCCCGATTTGACACAATTTCAAACAATTCAAAGAACAAACCAACGGCAAAACAATACACGAAAAACAGATATAACCGACAGCAGCCAACGTCAACCACTAAAATTCAGTTTCCTTACTTTGGACAGTCACATACATAGTGTGGCGGGGTTAAACATGTTTGTGAGCACACAACCCCCGATCTAACCAGGGACACTGGTGAAACAGTTGTTGCAGTTACTAAACGCTAGTTCAAAGTACAAAAAATCAAGCTCTTTTAAATCCAACAGATTAAGCGTAAAACCGTCAAAAACAGTCTGAGAAAGAATGAACTTGTGAAATGTCAAAATTTCGAATACATAATATCGATTGGATAAATGACCATAACATTTCATAGATGATTTCTAATTTTTCAAAAATAAAATTAATGTTAGTAGCGATAAAAACAATCTTTAATGAGTTTACTACGATGTCAAATTGATATCCTTTAAGAACATGTGTTTTGAAGGATCAATACGTTTACATGGATCGTATTTAAATTTATGGGCGTAATAAACAACATTACCATAAAATATTGGATGTGATAACCCATTTTTTTTAAAAGAAACCTACAAACTTCACAATGAAATCTGTGTATCTATGAAAGAATTTAGTACACATTTTAGGTAATTTGTGGTAACGAAATCAAAGACTAATAAGTTACCAGTTATACATAGATCACGTTTATTGCAATTAAAACTAAAATTGATATCCATTAATAAAGCGAAAAATAAAAGAATATTTTGTTTCATTTTCATTTTATATTTGTTTACACTTTTGTGTGATGCCTTTGTAAAACATTGTCGCTAGGGGCGTCTAAATTGGCAATAAAGAATTTGTTTGAATGTTTGTCTGTTTGCTTATCGCTGAACATCTATGATGACAACGAGATGTTTATTTTCCAGAAGTGGATATCTTATAGCTTATTCATTGGCATTGTCCATTCAATATTTCTTACCAAAAAAACCCATGGCAGCCAACAACCTTAAGTAGCATTATCGCTTAAAGAAGAAGTTATGAATGCAGATGTGCACTAAACCTTCAGGAATTGTTTCCCATGAAAATGTGAAAATTATGGATTAAAAATTGTTGCTTGTAAATAATCAATGTAAATGAATGTTTACTACCTTGGCATCAAACCAAGTTGCAGAGGTAGTACTGAAGTAGTAACAGTTGTTTGCATCCCTTTTCCAACCATCTTTACATGACATTTGTACTGTAAAATACACTTTATTAACAATAAAAAAATGTTACACGTGCATAAAGCATATGTGTGTTCACAAGATCGGACAAAAATGTAATGATTGTTTTGGAGACCTTCATAAAAACTTATCAACAGGAATAACAGTATTTTAACGTTACAGGATTTTTTTTAAATCAAGATGAAGCAGGAAACTTCCAGAGCAACACAATGTGGTTTGTGTTACTCAATATTACTTTTTTTGTGTTCTGTAGGTCTATGTTTTCTGTTCGTTCTTACTTTTTGTCCTTGTTCATGAGTTAATTGTCTTTCTCGATTATGGTATTTATTAGCTACATAGTATTTGTTGTCATTTTGAGGTTTAACTTAAGAACAACAAAACACCGGATATTCTCGAAATTTAACAAGCACATAACTTTTCAGTGGTACTCTTTAACAGACGCTTATATCTGTCTTTATAATTCGCAGATAGGGTATGACATTTATGTAATGATTAATTTTTTATCAATTTATGAAATGCACGAGGCATTTTTTAACATGCGTATTTGTCACTTATCACTTTTACCTTGTTCTTCATATAATATAAAGTATGACCTTTTGCTATGAATAATTTGCAACATTGTATTATTTGACTAAATTGTCTGTAATCGGACGTTTTTTTTCTTCTTAAATCTCAGATAATTTTTAATCAATATGAAATTTCTTAATGAATATATGTTCAATGGTAGAATATTTCAAACGTTAAAAACCTTGACACATGTATCCAATATATTCAGGCAGACAGGAACAATTATAACTGCTTCCGGTCGTTGTGCATATTCCACCATTCAAACAAGGTGAACTGCTGCATGAAGTGTCTAAAACATGATAGTGAAGACATAATGTCAAAACATAAATAGTTGTTGCGAACTGTCTTAACTGTAATTTGCGATTGAAGTTTTAGAGCTGGAACTAGTGGTGTTCATTTCTATATGATTAACGTAAATTAATGTTTACTACCCTCAGGTTAACCTACATTTTGTAGAGACTGGTGACGTAGTTACAGTTGCATTAACAATGCGTAAAGCATCCTTAAACCATAGTGAAAATAGTGAAATTTGAACTGTAAAATGACCTTCATTAACCACATCAAAACATGCACGGGCAGTGATGAAAAGATATAAGACAAATGTCTTTTTACAAAACGAAGTAATTTTGAAACGTATTATCCCTAGATATATACCTAGGGAAAACGGTTAACTGTGTATAACGTTAACGAATTTAAAACAAAATTGGCAAAAACACTGGCGTCACTTGCGAAGTATAAACTGTCGATTTATCCCGTTCAGGCCCTGTCTTGAGGGGTATATGTTACTAAATTTTCGTTTTCTGCAAAGTGTTTTTCTTTTTCGAGTTATTTGTCTCTCTGGGTCCTTTTTCATTTGAATATTGTTGTAAAAAGGTATATCAATTTTACAAATACCTTATTTTCACCATTATATTCGCAACTACTTTCAAAATCTAATATACATATGTTATTCCAGAAATTCAGACAACTCAAAAATAAAGTTTACAGCCTTAATACCTGAATTGAATTATAGAATAAGATAAAGAATCTGTATTTTTTGTGCGTTAATTCTTACGTGCAACGTGAACACTGGGTATCACAAATCATAAGCCCGGAATCTTTGCCAAGTTCTGAATTTCGATAAAAAAACATGAACTATACGATATAAAGATATAAAAGTGCCATTATATGATTAAGGTATGTGAAAGTTTCAATACATTCTAAAAGTGGGTTTAGGAGGAGTTGGGGAACCGGTGTTTTCGTAGATAAAACAATACTAGAGACCAAAACATGTTTTGAGAGAAAACAAAAACTAAATCAGGTTAGAAAAAACCCAGAATACTTTAAATAATTCTAATGTGTTGTTGAAAATACAAAGTTAGTACGACCAGATAAACAATGACGAAGTCCTTGATTTGTATAGGGAAACCCCCCAAAAAGTTCAGATCAAAATCAAAATAAAAGATATAAATTATTCCAATGCAAATTAAATTCTATTTTGTGTAGTTCCTTCCGAAAATATGTAAATTATACATTTTAGAAATTGAAAAAAATGCTCAGAATCTTTTGTTTTTATGTGCAATCTCAAGTACATCTCAAAAACAAACTTTGCAATAAATACATAGATTGCAGAGGATACTACATCATGGTATTTCTGATGAAGTGCATTTCAAAAATTCAAATCTTTACCTCCTATGCAAAGGCCAACGTGAGGATTTACTCAGTGAGGCAAAACGTCCCTGCTGCATACTGATTTTTTGTTACTTCATGTGATGGATACCATTATTTTTCGTAATAGCTTTTAACACTTGTTCAATGTCTGCTTCGTGTCGAGCAGAGATAAGGATCGAAGCTTTTTTTTCAAATTCTCACAAAAGACGCAGCACTGAGAGAAAGGCGTACTAATTCAGGTTTGTATTGCGTTTTGTAAAGAAAATCAGTTATAAGTATATGCGGAAAAAACTTATTATTTTGTTTTATAAGAATGAAAAGATGACAAAAACATTTCTTAAAAACGCAGACCAATTTAATGAATAACGCTGTTAGGTTGAAATGGCAGTGTCTATAGGATTCTAGATCTACGCTGGTAGTTTTAATATATGTAAATAGTTCAAAGTGTATCTGTCTAGTTTTTACTCTTATAAATGATTATTTAAAGCACATCATTTCATCATGCTAGCCTACAAATTTATAACATGCATGACGAACATACCTGATTTGTCAATATATTCTGTAATGTTATCCTCAGACCTTCGCCTTTCAAACTCTTCTAACTTGTCGACACCATTCCTCAGTTTTTCTATTGTTTCATTAAATGAAGACCAAAGGTGATCAATATCCGTGTTAGTAACATTCAATGCTCGTTGATGCTTGTTAGTGTTTTCGTGTAACACGTTGATTTCGCATGAAAATTGCCGCCTTTTGTTTTCAAGTTCATTTTTTAGATACTGATTTTCTCTTTTAAGTAATAAAATTTCGTTTTCGTTACTAAATACCCTTTTAAGAAGCTCATGCATATCGTCTTTCAAACCATTAATGTCTGATTGTATGAATGTGATTCCCGTCTCCTTTTTGTCCGCCTCCACAGAAATTTGTTTAAGAGCGTCCTTGAAACTTTCGCACGTACTGAGAACACTTAAAATTATTATCAAAGTTATGTTGATGATAAAACCAATACATTGAAATGGTTCTGTTTCTGCAAATAGCTTTATAAAAGTAAAATATAGATTTCTGATTACCATGGTTACACTACATCCAGTAGAAGTTTGTAAGATGCTATAATTACGAACAATATACCATTTTATTTTATTATTTGTAAATTTAATGGATTATAATTAGCAAACTGTAAAACGTACCTTTTCGAATTATCTGAGATCACCCCTTGTTTTTTTTTTGGTTGGTGTTGCTCAGTCTTTAGTTTTCTGTGTTGTGATTTGTATACTGTTATAGAAAAACAAAGGATATGGGGTGCTCATCTATGACACAAAATCAGTATAAGCACAGCAAAAACATACAAAAAGTTAAGAAACAGCGCTTTATTTTGGTAATTTAGGTATCAAATGAAACGTGAAAGACTGGTGATCCTGGAAAAACACCTTTTGACTGATAATTTTGAATAAAACAAAAAAGAATGAATAGATCTTTAAAATGAGGGCATATTACGGAGTATATATCTCCCAATTGATACGATATTCCCGGGCTTGTGTTTCCTATCATGATTTCATTGATAGAGGATTGCTGCTCACAAGGAAGCTATTTAACCAAGAATTCCAAATGGTGAAGTTGAAGTCATCCCTTCGTAAATTTTACGGACGCCATCACGAGTTGGTTGACCGTTATGGAATAACCGTTTCACAGATGATATCGGATATGTTCCTTATGTCGTAACTACAATACCCTCCCTTTTCACGAATGTGACTTACCGAATTAGACTATTTACAGAATTTGTAATAACATAAGCAACACGACGGGTGCCACATGTGGAGCAGGATCTGCTTACCCTTCCTGAGCACCTGAGATCACCCCAAGTTTTTGATGGGGTTCGTGTTGCTTAGTCTTTTGTTTTCTATGTTGTGTCATCTGTACTATTATTTGTCTGTTTGTCTTTTTATTTTTGGCCATGGCGTTGTCAGTTTGTTTTCGATCTATGAGTTTGACTGTCCCTCTGGTATCTTTCGTCCCTCTTTTATGACTGTATCTCAGATACGTGAATTGGTATATCCACAATTACGGTAACTCGTACCGTTCGATGTGTATATAACGGTTTATACAACGCGCCCTCACAAATGATTGAAAATTAAGAAAAATTGACATAGAAGGTGGTTGGGGGGGGGGGGGGGGGGCAAGATTATGTGTTGTGCCTCTTATTAAAATGATTGTACACAAGCTGGCCTACAATTGACAGAATGATGTTGCACACATAAGAAGTTATCTCAAGAATAAATACACAATAACTTAGAAAATACAGAAGAGCATACACCACAAGCAAGAGGACACTTTCTACGGCCTCCACACAACACGAGTGACAAACTCCGTTAATTTAATAGAAAAGACAAAGGATATGGGTATACATCCACGACACCAAATCAGTACATGCACAGCAAACAACACACAAAAAGCAAAGGAACAGAGCTTTTATTGCTGTTGTTTGTCATTTCATCGTTTTTTTTGCCATGGAATTATGAGTTTGATTATCCATTTGAAAAGCATATAAAAAGGCAAATCAAGAATGTGCACTTTCGAATGTATTCATAGCTGATCTAGTTAATTTTGAAAAGGAGAGCAGGTACCAAGAGGAAATCAAAACCAGTTAGTGAAAGATAACAGAAAAAAGGAAAACCGACGAAAGGATAAACAAGAGTCCACAAAAACTAAACAGATAATTACGCAAAACGAAGGCCACCAACTGATTATTGAGATACTACATGTATCAAGAAAAAATCATGATGATCAATAAACCATCAAATTAGGTTAATGTAAAGTAACCCTTGTCATAGGGACATCTGCAGCTAACAATAGTTCTAAATCATTAATGAGCTACTCAGTTATTGGACTTTATATGTTAAAAACAACTGCCGGCGCAATAAAAAAATGTCAACTAGCCAATACAGAATAACTTGGCCAAATTTATTTGGTCAAATAAGTCAACGTTGATGTTGAAATGAAGCTATAGAAACAAAAGTTCCTGATTGAATATTCGAAGTCATCCCTCCGAACGCTCTTTTATTGACGTCATTATGATTTGATCGACAGTAATGGAATGTATGTGTCAAAAATGACATCGGATATGACCCACTTATCATAACCACAATACCGTCCGTTTTTGTGATGTGACATTATGACCGAATGCGACTGTCAACGTTTCATTTCATATTTACTAGATTTTTACTCTAGTGGTGATGTGTTTATAGGTCTGAAAAATGACATTTCCAAATGAACTACTAGTATATGTTTGAATCCAACTTACCGGACATGGCCCATCAACGCATTCGAAAAAGAGTAACAGCACAGGTGTTACTAGTATAGCAGGAACATCTGACCGTTTTGGAGCGTCCGAGTTTTACCCATGCATTGGTGGAGTTTGATCAAGGCTGTTCATTCATGCTTTCATAAGCACATGCAAAAACAGTGAGCTCCCGTGAGCACATGAGTTCTTAACACATATGCAAAAATGATTATTTGGAATCTTTAACAAAATAACTTGTAATTCACTGCAAGTTTGGGAATCCAACATTTTAAATATTTAACGAAAGAGGAGATTTTGGAATATCATAAACATGTCATTCTCAACATATAAAAAAGGATGATAAA